AGGTTTTTTTTCCCGGGAGAAGGAGCTGGGCTGCACCATCTGCCGTGGCTGGACGGATTCACCTCCTCGTGACACCGAGCACTCCAACATCCCACCGAAGCCAACAGGCCCTGCACTTGCTGACAGCCCTGAAAACAAGACAACTGGTCTTGTCAGCATTGAGATGGTTGGACTTGATGATCTTAAAAAGAGCTTTTCAGACCTTAAGTATTCCAGGATTCCACCACTGGAATGCTGTAAAGGATGGGGGTAAACCCTTCAGAAGGGATGAGAAAGGAAGGAGAGGTGGTTGGGGAGTGTTTGGATTGCCTGGAGCTTGATTAATTAGATTGAATTAATGGTTGGACTCGTTGAACTTAGAGGTCTTTTCCCACATGAACAATTCCATGATTCTCCTCTCCTCTATTTCTGTCCCCGTCTAGGTTTTCCTCATGTTCCTGAACACTGGGAAAACCCTCACAGTAGGCCCTGGGCCCCTCAGCTGCAAAGCCAAGTCCTGGCTCTGCATAAAGAGGAGAAAAGGAGAAAAAAACAAGGGGGAAGAAGAAGATGAGATTAAAAAAACCAGGAATATTAATGCTGAAAAAAGAAGATCTGTACATTAAAAATTAAAAGCTCTATAAGGGGCACTCCCTTGTTGCTCCAGGGCTCCCATGAGGGGATCTGATGGAAGAGAGAGGAGGCAGAGGATGGATATGAGAAGGCCCTGGGGAGACATCCCGAGATATTTGGGATATTTGAGAAGCACAAACAGGGAGGATTTTGATATTTCAGAAGCACAAACGGGGAAAGATTTTATGATTTCAAACCCCCCAAAGCCCTCAAGGCCTCCGGGGCTGTTTCTACATGACAAAATTTGGGATTCCCCAAAGTGTCTCAAGTTTCCTTTCAGCCTTCAGTTAAAATCAGGGTTTTATTTTGCCAAAAACACCCAGAGCAAACGGTTGGGAGGAAAAAAATATCACAGATTAAAAGCAAAAAGATAAATATTTAAAGCAACAAAGCAAATATAATTTCTTAATTCCCACTGAGGGAAACGGGAGAGAAACAGAAGTGTGGCTACCGGGCAGAATATTTGATTTACCCTAAGAAAAGAGAATATCTGTATTTCCAGCACTTGCCTTTCCCACAGAAACTTCCTAAAAGGACCAACATCTGTCCCAGTGACTGACATTTCACTCTCTTCCCTGATTTTTAAAATTAGTGGCACACCACCAATGGAAGCACAGGCATTTTTATGCCAACCAAAAGAGATGAAACCAGAAAAAAATAACAGATAAATGGGAGGAGACAAAAGGAAAAATAGTTTCCTAGATTTCATTTTTAGTTGTGTTAATTGAGCCAGGACAGTCAGGAAATCACTGTCTCTGTGTATTTATTGAAGAGAGGGGGAAAAAAATCCCTTTTTTAAGACTGAAAAATATACCAGCTGAGTTTTGATCCCACCACGGAGCGAAGACCCTTTGGAATATTGGTTCTGTGTTGTTCTGGAAGAACCTCCCTGGTTTTTCCTTCTCCAACTCCCAAACCTTCCCTCCACCCATGGGGAGCTTTCCCAGCCCTCTCTGCCCCTCCTGACATTTGCTGCCTCTATTTTGATTTATGTTGCTCCCAGGGTTTTAAGGAGCCACTGCCTGAAATGTACTTTTTGCTGCTCCTCGGATCTGATCCCTGCCATCAACCCCTGAATAAAATACAGAGGGAGTGAAGCTGTGAGGGGCACGAACTCCACTTTGCTTTCCCACAAACACAATCTGCCTTGTCACTTCTTATTTATTTTTAAGCCAGTGGCAGGTTACATCTGCCTCACGTCGGCCCAGCCAACAGAAATTAACCCCCTTTTTCACGTGTGATTTATTTTTGTGCTTTCTATGCTTCTCAAACCTGGCTGAAAATATAAATACAGTAAAAAAAAAAGAAGGTTTTTCAAGCTCTGGGGTCAGCATAAATCTTTTAATCCAGGCTGCTTTTAGCACTGCCCTGAAAACCTTTCCCTCAGCATACCAATGTTTCTGTGCAGCCCCAGCGCAGCTACACGGAAAAAAACTAGAAATAAACCCAACCAAAAATGGGTTTCAACAACCCATTATTCCACCCAAAATAAAAGCTCTCTCCTCTCATCAGGTTCCTGCCTCGGAGTTATTTATTTGGCTTTTTATTATTCCTGCCTCGGAGTTATTTATTTGGATTGTTTTTTTTCCCCCCTCCGTGCAGCTGTCGAAGAATTGACCAATTTCTTTGCTCTGTTCTCATTCCCAGTGAAATCTGAGTCTCTTTTTTTAACCATTTCATCATTTTTCTTCCACGTTTTCGGTTCCCCAGTGCTTTGACTTCATCTGTTGTGATGAGAGCTGGGACCAGAGTGGAGCTGCTGCTCTCAGAGCAGTTCCACTCCAAAGAATATATTTACTAAAGACATTGGCTTTAACCTTTAAAGTCTGAGAAAAAGCACCAAAGTGTTACTTCCAGGTTCCTTAACACAGGATAAATTCAGGATAAATTAGCAGGGTGGGATTAACTCCAAATGACAAGCTCATAAATTACATTTCAGCTGTAATTTTCAGTCCTGTGGCTTTGTTAAAAAAATCACAGCAGCCACTCACACCACCCCAGTCTTCTCAAAATAATTGCCTTTCACCGAGTTTCCACAGTTTTGGGTCCAAAGTGTGATGGATAATAAATTGAACTACCTTTGAGGAAAAAAAAAAAAAAAGCCTTTCTTTGGTTTCCTTCCGAGCCACTTTTGGGATTAAACTCCAAAGATCTTGGAGAAGTTGGTTGGCTGTGAAAATGCCTCCAGGTACCAAAGGCTTGGTGACATTTGGAAGCAGCAGAGCCCTCAGGCCTTGGGCTGAAATGTTCCCTGTGCCACTGGTCCCACGAAATTCCTGCCAAAGAAACGCCATTCCTAAAATCCCAAAGCGATTTGGGTCAGAAGGGACCCCAAATCCTCAAGGTTCCACCCCCTGCCATGGACAGAGATATCTCCCACCAGCCCAGGTTGCTCCAACCTGGCCTTGGGCACTTCCAGGGATTGAGATAAGTCCAAAAAATAGGAAAAAAGCCTCTGATTTTTTCCTACTAAACTGAATTTTACTGGAAAAGCCCCACCTGAGGAGCTAAACTAGATAGTTTCCTTTGCTCCCAGGGCAGATGGGTATGGAAGGTCCACCATGAGAGCAGGATCCCTGGGAGGTGGCCCTGCAGCTCTTCCATCAAATCCATGGATTCTGGGAGCAGTGAAGCTGGAAAAGTCCTGTCCATTTTCCTCTGACAGGGTTCAAGGAGCTGCCCCCAAAACTAGATCTGATTGTGACCGGAGCCAAACTGGTAAAGAGAAATAAAATCCCAACAGCCACAGGACATCTTTCCCTCTGTGAAATTCCTCCTCTAAATTTCTCGTCTCTTGGTTTCTTCTCCCATCATTCCTTTCCAAGCTGCTGCCAGGGGGATTTGGAGCTGGAATAGGGCTGTTGCTCTGACACAGAGACTGGTTTAGGTTGGAAGGGACTTTCAAAAGCATCTCATTCCAATCTCCTGCCATAGGACATCTTCTCCTAGACCAGGTTTCTCCAAGTTCTGTCCAACCTGACCTTGGAGACATCAGAGGCTGCCCCTGCTGAGCTCCAAAGAGATCCCACCCTGAGCAGCTTGGACACCTCTCCCATGCACAGGGACAGGGGGTTCCTGACCCACCAGAGGTCAGAGGTGGTGAGAAGAAGAACTTGGGTGGAGATGCTTCACTTGACAGAAATGCTTTTTATCCTCCAGTGATTCTAAAAAAACGCCTGGAAAACCAGCCTAGAGAAACAGGGAACCTACACCTGCTATTATTCCAGGAGCCAGAGGAACCTAAGCTTAGGCACAACATCTGCTGCAGGATCAGGGTCCTGCAGGATCAGGCAGCTGAGTCCTCCAGCCTGTGCAAACCCCCCCTTTGCCATCCAGATCTGAGACACCGAAGATAAAAGACACCCAAAGTTCGTCTCCATCCAGCACATTAATTATCCATTAATTATGGATTGGGGGGGGGGGGGGGGCTGCTCATCCTCCCCCAGGACTCTGATCTCATGTTCTGACTTCACAAAGTTCCTTTTGCTTTTTGAGACAGGGAACAAATTCCAACAAACCCTCTGTTCTCGAGGAGCTTGAAGCCATCGGAGCCTGTGATCTGCCCACCCTGCTCCCTGAGTTCCACAGAATTCAAGCCTCACTACAAACTTCAAATACAGGAATTTTGCTGCCTGATGACTCTCTCAGGCCTCCCTCAAAACCACGCCAACAGATCCCGCAGAGAAGGGAGATTTACACGTTGCATATAGAAACTTTTATCCCCAAACCCCCAAAACCAGCTAAATCTCCCATTTTGTTACTGACCACAATCCAAACTTGATGCCTTGAGCTGTGATTCTAGTTAGAAGGATCTTTCTCTCTGGCAATCCTTCAGTTGAAAAAGGAGTACAGGTATTCAGTTTAGGAAAGATTTAAAGCTCTTAGCATCCAAAGGAGGGAGACAAAGATGGGGAAGGGCCTGAATTTGAAGCCGTGTGAGGACACTGAGGGCACTTGGTCTGTTCAGTTGGAGAAGAGGAGACTGAGGGGAGACCTCACTGCAGTTCCAACTCCCTCAGAAGGGGCAGAGGAGGGGCAGGCCCTGAGCTCTGCTCTGTGGGGACCAGGGACAGCACCCAGGGAATGGCTGGAGCTGTGCCAGGGCAGGGTCAGGTTGGATCTCAGGACAAGGTTCTTCCCCCAGAGGGTGGTTGGTACTGCCCAGGCTCCCCAGGGCAGTGGGCACGGCCCCAAGGCTGCCAGAGCTCCAGGAGGGTTTGGATGATCCTCTGGGACACAGGGGGGGATTGCTGGGGTGTCCTGGTAAGGGTCAGGGGTTCGACTGGGTGATCCTGGTGGGTCCCCTCCAACTCAGCACACACTGTGACCCTGTGATCCCACCACCACCACCACCTCACCCCACCCACCACCCTCACCCCTGCACCCACCTGTGACGAGGAAGCTGCAGCGCCCGGCGCCCGCCTCGTTGATGATGTTGCAGTTGTAGAGGCCGTAGGTGTCCCTGGCCAGGCTGCCCACGGTGTAATCCGTGGAGTCCTGCACGTCAAACTGCCCCGTGCGCAGCAGTTTCGTGCCCAGGCGCCACTCGTAGGTCAGCACCCGGGTGGGATAAGCCCTCAGCACCCGGCAGCTCATGGTGACGCTCCGGCCCTGGCCCTGCCGGATCTCCAGGAACGTGGGCTCCACGGCAGGGGGGTCTGTGGGAGAAAGGAGTGAGGGTTAAATGAACACTATAAAGACTTTAATACAGCTTTTTAACGCTTTAGAGAAGAAATTTTAGCTCCCCACCCCTCTGTATCAAGTGTTTAATACGCGTTTTTTGCTGCTGATTCAGGGTGTGGACTCCTCTGTACCATTCATTTCCTCCTTGCCAACATAGAATCACAGAATCATAGAATCAGCTGGGTTGGAAGGGACCTCCAAGATCATCCAGTCCAACC